CCCGGGCCCGGCAGGGAGCCGGGCAGGGGCTCGGAGCTCACGGTGCTGCTCGGCTGGCAGGGGACACTCGGCACGTCCCGTTCCCGTTCCCGCAGGGAGAGCCCTGTCCCTGCCCTGGGGACCCACGGATGGGGCTGCAGACCCCTACAGGCGCTGCCTTCCCCCCTTCCAGAGGCACTGCTTGACGTTTCCTGACCTATTCCCGCTGTCCAAGGACTGATTTCAGCGCGGTGGAACCAGCTGCAGACGGGATCAGCTCCCCATCTCCACACCCGATCACACAAGGACCGGGCATTGCAAGTCTGTCATCACACTATAAAATACAAAGCATTTCTGCTTTTGAGGAGAATCAGCCCTTGGATCTCAGCGGTGCTTGAATGGGCAATCGCTAAATGGGGAAATATAAACCGTGCCCGACTCCTAATCCTCCTCCTGGTGTGACTGTTCTGGATGTGCAGTGCATGGAGCTACCACAAAGCACAACTAAAAGACTTCATGTTCAAAATGTTGAACTGTCCTTTGGTCAGGGACGTGCGCTAATTACAGCACAGAAAGTGCAGGGAGCATTGAGAAACACAGCTCTGACAGAAGTCCTCGCTGGGCTCTGGCCTTGCTGTGCAAATTCTGACATCCAAACCCCCTTTCCCAGCTGGGGAAGCAGTGGGAGGCGAGCCCAAAAAGATTTATTTCTCCTTTCCCAAAACTGCAGCAACCTCTTTTTCCCTCTGTCTGTACTTTCCAAGCCCAGTTCTCAAAGTTTGTACCAGCCACTGGTTTCATGCAGAGCTGTCATCCCATCTGGAAATGCAGAACCTATCCCCGCACAACTCCTGGAAATGCAGCTGCTAGCAAAGTGTGTTATGACCTTTTGGCTACTGCTAGCCCAGAAAACGTCCAGCAGACAGAAGATCTGGCCAGGCACTTCTCAGCATCCCCACAACAGCAGCACATCCCTGTCACCGGCAGATTTTTGGCTCTGAGCCGCACAACTGGCAACTAAAGCACAGAAAAACTCGAGATCTGGATAAAGCTGCTTACACCACTCACAGGGTGTCCCACGAACTCCAGGAGCTGGGAAGAAGCAGGTTTCAGCACAAACTGCCTGGCAGTGCTGTGGGGTGGCTGCACAGCACACGGGCAGGACACATCTCCCCATTAATTGGTTAATTGATGGAGCTGTTGATTACTGCTCTGAGCCCCTTTGCCCATGGGATGTGGGTATTTGTAAGAGCCAGGCACAGACACCACCGGGAAGGACTGAAACTCCCAGCTCTGCCACTCCGAATCACAGACACTGCAGGTGAACACACACTGTCCACTCCAGCCCGAGCAAGCACCAAAACCAAAGATGGTTGATTCCCACTGGATGAAAGCACATTAATTTCCAGCTGTATCTGTTTCCACACTGCTACTGGCAATGTTTTAAGTCTCTGTTGTTCTTTCAGACCAAGACCTGCTTCAGCTCCCCAAACCAACAGCTCTGCCCTCCAGTTAGATGTTATTGTACTTTATGGTTATTTTTACACACAATGAACTGTTTTAATGCCTCACTTTACTATGAATTCAGTCGCCTTTTATTTATAGCATCATCTTTTCCACAAAAACACTGATGAGAGATTCTGGGTGTCTCAGGATAAAAGCAAGAATACACGAGGAACCCAAAAGTTGGGAAGGAAAGATCTGTAAAGCCATAACTGATCTATGCCATGAAGGACGCTGGAGTTGTAAGCATTGGAGCTGCTCCTCATGCAGCTCACCTCACCGATGGTTTGTAAACTGTGGCTGTTCTGACTCTTAACACGTGGGCACAATCACGTTTCCCTTTTGCTTTATTTAGCCCCTTTCACACCTCTGCACAGAAACGAAGGGGTGGGAATTTGGAACAGGCTCTCAATGATTTGCCTCTGCACACACACAGCTCCCCCTGAAAACCCAAAGATCCCACCGAGTGCTGCTTCCTTCAGGTCAAACCCTGCTCTTCCCGTCTGCTCTGCTTCCAAGCTCCTCTCTGCTCACCTCTAACACTGCTGGAACCCTCACGGCACAGGCAGAGCTCTGGCAGCCTCCATGACCCTCAGAGATCACGGTTCCACGAGCACAGAAGTAAAGAGATTGGGTTTTTTCGGTTTTTTTTTTCTTTTTTAAGGTTAGGAGGCAGAGGAGAGGGAAGATGTCTTAACTAAAGCACGAAGTTTAACAATAATCTTACCACTGGAGACGAAATTCGACACCCAGGGCAATCACAGATTGGAGGATGTACCTGTAAGATTCCTTTGGACATAAGAGTCTTCAAACTTTTCCCTATAAGCAGAGAAGAAAAAGAAGAAGAAAAAAAAAAGAATCAGCACGTTTATAAAAGGAAACTATTCAGGAAAGGGGGGAGGGGGAGGCACGCGTCTGCTTCCATATGAACAGCCCTCCCCTCGCCTGGCCACCGGCAGCCACCCCCGCCTGCCCCCGCAGCCAGCTCTGTCCCCGCGGGTCCCTGCGGAGCCCTGCCCGGGCTCGGTGCCGCAGCCCCGG